CATTCGGTCAATTTTTTACCAGATGTCCCAAAATTTATGAGAACAGCTGTAATAACCGGGTGGAGTTTAAAAAAAAAAAAATTTTATAAATTTTTTATATGAAATTTTTTAAAAAAAAGCCGGCCAGCCGGGTCAATTTAAAAGTTTTTTGTTATGAAAACCAAGTAATTAAATTTGTATGGCCTTAGTATAAATTTTTAAATGTTTTTTGGAAATGGAATCATATAGGTTCAGAATCCATCTAGATTAGAACGGAATAATTATACTAAAAATTTCTAACCTAGCATTTATTATACGAATTCATAAACTCAATCGAACCGGCCGAAAATCATTCGGCCAATTTTCATTCTACGTACGTACGTACGTACGGTGCCTGAGGTTACGTACGTACAACTTTGGGGATAACACATCAGATATTTATAGCAAAACGTTAGATATGAATTATTATGGTTAGTGCATTTATCGTTATAGAAATGCATTTAGAGTATGTTTCAATTTACCAATAAAATTCTATTATAGCCACATGGCCATCCTTTTTTGTACAGGTAGTAAGGTTATAAATTACGTACGGATGTACTTGTCAAAAAATAAAAAAAATGGTTTCGCCTGATGAGAAATCTGATGAGAAGCCTTTTCTCCCACCACCAGCAACTTCGACATCAGCTTATTCTCACCAAAAGCAACACTCTACCTTTGTTATCTTCCTGGTTGTAGCGTTTTACTGGATTGTATCTTTAGCAGTTGTATTCCTAAATAAATTTATTCTCAGCTCTTCGGAATATAAATTTCCATATCCTCTGTTTGTGACATGGTTTCAATTAGTTGTAGCGCTACTTGTCTTGCTGATTTGGGGTACCTTAGGTCGAAAGTATGTATTTCTTATCTCTAAACAATGACACTTTTGAAGAGTTTACCAAATAATGAAAATTTAACCTATTTGCAAATTAGAATCAAAGCATTATCACTTATCCCACCATATGAATTCGATTTGAGCATCGCTCGAAAGGTCATTCCATTGACCTTTATGTATGTCATGATGTTGGCTTTTAATAATCTATGTTTACAATTTGTCGAAGTTACATTCTATCAGGTTTGTAATTATTTAACATAAAGGACTTGAAAAGAATATACTAAAGTATCTTTTTATAGGTCGCACGATCTCTTTCAATCCTTTTTAATATTATTTTCACATATACACTTCTTGGATCTAAAACATCATTCGCTGCAATAGTTTGTTGTGGTATCGTATTCATGGGATTTGCTGTTGGATCTTATTATGAAATAAATTTCTCTTGGGAAGGGATTATCTATGGTGTTGCATCCAGTGCCTTTGTTGCTTTATATGGAATTTACGTTAAAAAGACACTTGGTGCAGTTGATAATAATCAATGGTGAGCAATCATAATTCATATCTGATACAAAATATATCATCTTTTATGTAACTTTATATAACATATTTGGTTCAGGCGTCTTCTCCATTATAATACAACTTTATCGATATTCTTCCTTTTACCATTGGTACTGTTTTCTGGTGAATTCAAAAGAATCCTCCAGGTTTACTTTTTAGATGATCTGGGTTTCTGGATATTGATGACTGTCACTGGAATCACCGGTTTTATCATCAACATTGCAGTATTCTTGCAAATTAAAGTCACAACACCTTTAACTAATACAATTTCGGGGACGGCAAAGAGTTGTTTTCAAACTGTGCTCGCTGCTTCATACTTCCAAAATCCAATTTCTCCAATGGTAAGTAATTATTAATATGATTAAGATAATTTTATAAGCGTTTTTATACATATTTGATTACGTAATTATTGATTACTTTCTATAATGTTGTGGCATTTATGTAGAATGCATTTGGTATAGTTCTTTCCCTCTTTGGTTCTGGCTTATATTCGTGGGTACGATATAGGGAAATGCAGCAGAGAAAATAGAATTCATATAATTTCACGTAGAAATTTATGTGAACTGATATATACACATGTATATGTTGGTTCGAGTAACCAAAAGAAACAAAAAATTTTTGTATTGTATTTTTTAATAAAATTGATTTATGTCAATACAAGATACGCTACTTACTCAAATCTTCCATGTTGTAAAATTGCATAGCGGAGGACTAGGACAGTGGATCAACTTTTGATTACATAAATTTCATGTATTATAATTAACGCTATTTATAAATCCTGTGTTAGTTATATTCTTCCAAGTATTTTTGCAATCTGATTGTAGTAATAAAAATTCTCCGTAATCTTGATATAGTGATCGGATATTTAATAAAATTTTTATATCCAGAACACTTAAAAACTAAATTACCTTCTCTAATTATTTTTAGGGTTAGGGTAAGGAATTAGAGATTTTTTTTTATATAATATAATATAAATTGGATATAAGGTCCAAGAATACCCGCCCCGTTTACTTAGTACATTTTTGAGATAGCATTCCCAGGAAAATTAGCAATTTTCTAAAAAATCAATTGTTATAAAATGCACCTATGACACACATTTAATAAATTTAGGTTAGGGCGCATTTTTAATATGAAATGGGGCACAGGTTGAATCAATGAATATCGGGTGCATACCGGACAAGATTCCGGATATGTCTGCCATAGATCCGCCAAAATACCTGCTGTATATCAGCAGCATATTGTTAACGATATCAGTAACATAACGAAAATATTGGGATACCCCGATATCTTACTTTTAGGCCCAGAATGCTGAGAGTAAGGTATCAGGGTATCCCAAATATTGTGATGTTATGTTACCGATATCGATCTTTCTCCTGACATCTTTCCAATATACTGCTAATATGCTGCGAATCTATGGCAGACTATCAGGTACGTACGTACGTACTCGTCTCCTGGTATGTACTCGATATTATATAATTTTCATATAAAGTTCAAATTTTGTCACACCTAAGGTTTTAGGGGTCCTGCCCATTTTTACTTAGAACCCTGACCCTAATTAGTTTTTAGAAATAGCATCTATGGTGTTTAGCACCAAAGGTGTATTTTAGTAAACTTGAAAAAATTAACAAACAATAAAATTATACAATTTATTATACTTGTTATAATACAGTATATATGTTGTGCCTCAGACTAACGCTTGCCTTGGATCACAGCTGACGCACCTCAGGTGTAGATTGTTAGATGAGGTGCGTAACCTATCGGTCATTATGTACAGAAAAAAAGAATAAAAAGTATTACAGCCAGGGATATTACCAAAAATGGGGACCATCTAAAGCGGCCCCACCAGGCAGTGTTGTACATAGGACAGACAGTTGGGACATTTTGGAACATTTTGAAACAATTTTATAAATTGAAATTACTTAAAAATTTTATTAATTTAATTTTGTTAAAATGTGTTCAGCACCTAAAAAAATATATAATTATATATTTTTTTAAATTGATTTATTAATTATTAAGACTTGGGACATAGTTGGGACACTTGGAACACTGGGATGTTGGGACATGGCAAAAAAAGGCTGGGACAGCAAAAATGGCTATAGTAAAGCATCCGGTGTACATGTTATTTGAAAAATCTGCCGATGATTATCATCGACCAATTTAGAAAA